GAATATCTACTAATATTTTTGATTGTTTGTTAAAAGCATGTTGGAAATCTTTCAAGATATTGAAATGGAATGCTGGTGTCAGCAGCTTCCTCCTGTGCCTCCACTTTTCGTCATAGCTTGAGACATAAATAATTAAAAAAGAAATTTTGTTAGTATTAGGCCAATCGCACTAATTGTTACAATTAAAAAACTCAATTCGAATATTTTAATTAATGAGCTATTTCTCCTGTTATTAAGAAATCATAAGGGCCGTTATTTTGGGTCTTTTGTTTCGGTGCGCAAAAATTATAATACTAGGAACTTAAAATTGTAAAGTTTTGTAGAATAATGTCCCGGGAGTAGGCTGAAATAAAAACTTTTAACATTGAAAACCTAAAGACTTAAAATTCGACATGCTCAAGAAGCTGTCTCTGCTAATAAACTTAAGGTATCCGACTAGTTTCGACAACTTTTTTTAAAATATTAATATAAAATTTTTACGTTAAATCTGTCTGATTTCCATAATAAATCAGTACCTCTGGGGGTAATAAATTGAAGATTGATCGTTTGATCTTTCTCTGGTCCAGGTCAAAATTACGATCTGTGGATGAATGAATGGATGTATTAATGTATCCTCCCTGTAAACGGGCTATAACATGTGTGTTGCTCAAGTTGTATCCTTGGCCATAGATGGCGCCACTGAAAAACAAGAAACGCACTCTATGTCTTAAAATTCACTTGGTTTCACCAAGCAGGGGTGTTAGTATTTGAAAGTGGCTTTAGAAACAACAACAGCAACAAACAGCATATTAAGGTGAGATAGAAAAATGGCCATGTTCTGAAGCAGGGTTCTGGTGAAGCAAGATGGCTGATTAGCGACTAGAGGTCGCTAATCTAGACCTGCAAATCGAGGACTCTGTGAATAAGTTTTGCCTTAGGCACATGATCTGTCCAATATTGATTTTTGGTTTTGATTTTGATCTGCCAGTTCTGATTTTTAATTATAAATAACACCAATTCCACTTCCCCTATGTCCACACTAGCCCTCCTCTCCCGTTTTATGCCTTTAGAGTCAGCAACAGTTTTCCATTTCAAAAACGTCTCCGGGATTGAAATAGAAAAATTGTGTTTGGGTAAAAATATCATCCTAAAACTATTTTTCTTTCCAAACGCTTTTTCAAAACGTCGTATTCATAAATTTTTTATTCTTACATAAGTATCGTGATTCAAGAATATAAATATTTCTGTATTTTTCCACGAAATTCGAAGGTTTGAAGATCGATTGCGAAATACAAAAGACTTTTTATTTTTCAATAGTTTTAGATAATTTCTTATTGTCTAATTTTTGGCATTATCTCTTCTTCCATTTAAGCATTTTTTTTAAACTTTCACTCCAGTTTCACTTTCGCCACCCATTTCCAAATTTGAAAGAAAATGGATTCATCAGAAGGTTCAAATCTTTTTCACTAACATATCAGGGTATATGACTAACAAAAAATGTCATAGCATTGAAATCTGTGATTATATGGAAAAAAAGGTAATTATTTGTTTTTAAAAAGTTGAAAATGTTTTAGAAAATATTTTTGCATTTCTTAAAAAGTATACCTTAATTAGGGGATTAGCCTTGTAAACAAGATTTCTCTGGAATTTCTGTTAAAGCTCTCTTTAGTATATAGAAAATATAAATTTGCCTGATGTTCATAATGAAGAGAATGAGTTATTTACCATTGTTTTCTAATGAAGAATAATACTTACCTTGTTAATAGACCCATACCTAACCAAGGATGTAGAAAATTGTAAAGAAAGCTCTTTTTTAACTCGTTGTTTTGATGCAAAACTACCTAAAGAAAATATGAAATTTTTTCTTCAAAAAAATAATTGAAAATCTTTTAAAAATATTATTATTTAAAAATAACTAGCTAATATTTAAAAATAACTAACTAAAATTTAAAAAAACTGAACACACCTCAACAGTATCAGCTCGATATACACTTATAAAAGGTATTGTAAAATTCCATAAATAATGTATTCCGTCTTTATAAAATAATGCGTTATATCCTTGAAGGGCCAAGAAATCGTCTATGGAGAAACAATAAATCATATTAAATTGTAATTCAATAATGTACACCGAAGAGCCATTACATTATGACCACCCTGCTAATAACATGTAGGACCACCTTTAGCCCTCAAAACTGCTAGCACCCGCCGTGGCATTGATTCCACAAGGTGCTGATAGGTAGTCTGAGGTATTTGGTACCAAGCGCTCACCAACTGGTCCTGCAATTACCTCACATTGCGAGGGGGTAGGTGAATTTGGGGGCTAAGACATGACTTGAAAGTCACTGGAATGTTCCTCGAACCAATCCATGACGATTTGACCCTTATGACATGGAGCATTATCCTGTTGGTAAACACCATCCCCCACAAGAAAAACTGTTGCCATGAATGGGTGAACCTGGTCTGCAACAGTGTTCAAATAGCTTACAGACGTCAGGGATTGTTCTATGAGGATTATGGGATCCTAATGTGCCCCTTGAAAACATTGTTCCTGGGCGAGAAACCATAAAAACCTGGGGGATCCCATTGTAACAGAAAGAGGGTGGCCATAATGTAATGGCTGTTCGGTGCATACTTCTACAACAAAAAAAAAACTGAAAAGTATAATCATTTCACGATTTCTTAAGAAGGAAACACCACTATGAAATTTTCTACCAAAAAAAACTCTATTTTCTCATTAATATATTAAGAAATGAGTGTTATTTAATAGAATTAGGGAAAATTAAAATTTGCACGTTGACAATGAAAAACAAGGATATGGCTTGCTTTATTTCTTGCTTGTAACTCATGTGACGCATAGTAGTCGAGACTTAGAAAAAGCTGGCTAAACATGATCCTTACTACAATGGGATACCTGCAAGTGACGCATTAGTGATCCTGATTGGTTGTTGAAACATGACCTTTTCTTACGTAAGCAATTGTTCTTTCCATTTCACTTCGAGTAAACCAAGCCTACCAAATACCAATTCTCTTAAATAACACAACTTATATATTTTCACAGAAATTTCAATTCTATTACTATATATTTACATAAAGACTCAACACAAAGACAGACACGAAGTCATGTAGAAAATAAACAAATTTATTATGTATCGAAGATGCCAGGTACTCATAGCAAAAATATATCACGGTTACCATAAAATACATAAACAAATAATAAATCTAATTTCAGTAAAGGAAGTAGACTAGAAAGAATTATATTTCAACAAAATCGATGAGCTGTACACCTCTATATTTAATCATCTTAAATTTAATTAGCATTTTAAGTAATGAAGAGAAACTTCGTTAAATTTTAATATCTAATTATATCAACTCAATTTTAATATTCTATATTGCTAATAAAGATTAGATGGTGCTAACGTCGTGGGTGGTGGTTGTCTTCTTCTTGGATTTGGATTACAAGTACCCCAATATTATATATA